TATATATATATTGTTCCCTCGTTTCTCTTCTGTAGATCGAGTGGTTCATTGCCTCCTGACGGTTTCGGGTTTAGGGTCGTCTGTGTTTACGTGCAGTTGTCGAGACACAACAACGACGCATGCGAGAAAGCCGGGGACCTTCAAGACATTCTGACATGAGCAGCGACTCGGAGAGCGAAGATGAATCTCCTGCTGCAGCAACCAACAGCAGCAGCAGCAGCAGCAAGAAGACGCAAGGTGCAGACTCTGCTCCTGCTGGGGAGGCAGCCGAAGACTTTTTGGCCTCTATTCCGCTCCCAGCAGAGCCTCCTCCACCATCTGCCAGCTCATCTCAGGTTCCAACGTGGGCTTCACTGTTGCTGCTGCAGTTGCTACTGTGTTGTGATGTCAATATATATTCGACCTGGTGATAGGATGCCTTAAATTGCCGTCGCTGCGGACGTTACCTTGCTTTTGTTGGTGGTGCTTACCTTCGGTTATTGTTGCTTCTGGTGTTTGATCAGGGGGTCTACGCAGCAGCAGGCGATGCCGGCACACCCCTCGGTTCCTGTCATGCCGCTGCCATTCCCTGTTCCCCCCTTGGGCGGTTACGGCGGGGCGTCTCCCCAGCCTTCTGCTGCGGGTCATCTTCAAGGGGTGAGTGGGCGGCTGCGAGCAGAAGGTGGCGGCGGTGTCCTTGCAGCTGCCGGAGCTACTGTGTGTTTTCATTAGAGGCGTGTGCATGCCGCAAAGGAGTCTGTCGTTGACACCGTAGAGATGGCATGGGGTTTACCGAGGGCATAAGGGTGCCTGGGTGCGCTGTCTTGTGTTATGCTTGTTTTCAATATATACAGGGACCTCCTCACGGGCCCCCAGGGTTCTTCCCCCCTGCCTTTGTGGTGAGCTGAGACGGACGTCGCAGCTTTGTCGGATGGTCTCTTCCAGCGGTTTGTGTAGCTTACTGGCACTCAGACACAGCTGCTACAACTGCTGTTGCAACTTCTGCTGCACCCGCTGCTGTGCGCCGTCACCTCATGGCTTCATGTTGGGAGACTGGTGCTTTTTTGCGCGTGTCCGCAGCCCCCTTTCTTTGGAATCCCTCCCGCGCCATCTCAGCTCGTTGCCCATATGCAGCAAATGCAGGGACAGCAGCAGCAACCTGAGCAGCAACGCATTTCTCCCCATCCGCAGCAGGGCCCCCAGATCCAGCAGCCGTCTCCTGCTGCTGCGGGCCCCTCCACCACCGTACAAAAAAGGCCCCCGCAGCAGCGGACGCCGCCAGTGCCAGCGAAGAAGCAACAGACAGACAGCAAGCCAGCAGGTGCTTCGGACTTGAAGGCGGCAATAGCCTTTGTTCCCACTCACTTGAGGTGAGGGGATAGGAAAGGGCGCGGGGGCCTGTTCGAGGGGTGTATTCTACGCTGTGGTGGCCGTAGAAACAATTAGTTGAGTTTGTCTTCGCCATTACGGCTTGTGTTTGTCTTGGGACTGCTCGTGGTGTGGTGGTTTGAAAGTACTGTTGCTGTTAGGGTTTTTTTTTGTTTTGGAGCTGCTGCTGTTTAAATGTGCATGCATGTGCTGTTGTTGCAGGACAAAGAAGCTTCCGGCGACAGCGAAGATACAGGAGGGCCCCTCCATTTCTCGGGTGTCTGCATACTCCATGGGAACTGCAGCTCTGGGACGGCAAGGGGGGAGCGGAGGGGCCTCAGGGGAGAGAGGGCAAACTTCCAGCTTGGCCAAGTTTTTAGAAGCCAACAAACAACAGGGAGAGGGAAAAGGAATTGGGGGGACGCCAAAAGCACCGGCGCCTGCAGATCTCGACAGGGTAAGCGGTGCATCAAGGCCCGGCAGCAGGCAATGCAGCTGGGCTGTAGCTGTTAGCTCTGCTGTTGGGGCTGCTGTTGGTGCTTCTGCTGCTGTTGTCAATGCAAACAGCTGCGGCAGCGTTTGAAGTTGTCGCGCTAGTTATATTTACGCTTTCATTGGTGTTTACTGCAAAGCACGGGTGGCGCATGCTATCCGATATCCATGGTTGTTGGGTTCCTCAGGCCTTCGACGAGTTCTTGAAGGAGGTGGGCGCATCTTAGGGAGTGAGAGGAGGTGTAAGTATAGCGCAAGGCAGCGACAAGAATCCTCNAAGGAGGTGGGCGCATCTTAGGGAGTGAGAGGAGGTGTAAGTATAGCGCAAGGCAGCGACAAGAATCCTCATCGCAGCGGCTGCCAGTTTGTGAACAGACGCAGTTCTCTCCTTTACCTGTGGTTGTTTGGGAGCTGCTCCTCCTGGCTCTCTTTGGCCTGTTTCGGTGGAGATGTCTGCCGCGAGCCTTTGTGTTGTGCTGTTCCGCATGAGAGTAATGCGTGGCTCCGCTTTTGCTGCGTTTAATTTATTCTGCTTGATGACTGAACTTTAGAGGGAATCAAACTTGTCGCTGGCGTTCTCTGCTCCTCCTGAGATGCGAGCCGGTGCCTTCATCCCGACTTATGCTGAAGTTCTGCATCCTTTTGGCTGCTCTGATACCATTGGTTTAGGATCCACCTGTTCCGAATGAGGCTTCATACACCTGTTTCTCATTAGCCTCTGTATTCCACTTCCTCAGCAGCCTTTTTACACATGCCCTGCTGCTCATCAGTTTCTGCACATCTGGTGTTTGGCCCTAGTGGATTNCAGCAGCCTTTTTACACATGCCCTGCTGCTCATCAGTTTCTGCACATCTGGTGTTTGGCCCTAGTGGATTTGGCCATGTCCTCCCGCATTTTGTTGTTGGCAAACTGCGCAAAGCATATATAAGCATAGGATTATCGAAGACTATAGCGACGTATGTGCGCTTCTCCCTGACAGCTTCGGATAGGGATGTCGTACGCATACCTCCACGTCTCGCTGCAGCACCTTCCTACATCCACCTTCTTTCCGGAGCCCCTGCTGTTGTACAAAGAGTCGAGTCGCTGGGTCAGCGACTTGACTCCTTGTACACTGCTAGCTGTGTCATTTATGAGCGTGGATCCAGGCGTCAAGCGCAACTCAGAGGTTGTCTCGACACTGCACTGCTGATCTGCCGTTGCGTTCTGTGCATCAGCCTCCTGGTTTTCTGTAGCAAGCCGTTATGAGGATGACTCATGAGCTGGGATGCTTGAGCCTGCTATGCTAGCTAAGAAGGGCCGGCTCTAAGCAGAACATATAAGCAGACGCATAAGTGCACCGCAGGAGGGATTGTGAGAGGAGGGGGAAAATTACCTTAAATGGAACATTCCGTG